CCGGTCTTTGCCCTGTTAGGCAGCGCATTGAATCTCTTCCTCTAATCGTCTGACTCTGCCAGTGGTGTATCTTATGGCGTCATGGCTCCCATTGTTCACGCGGAGAAGGTCAGTCTCACCTGCCTACATCGCTGCGAGCTTGCTGTGGATCTCTGCGAGAAGAGCGTGCCCAGCCCAGTCCACTATCCTGCCTTCCACGCTTCTGGCTCGGCCATCGGGCGTGGTCGTGGCGGCGCGGCTTCGGCGGCGGGCAATGGCGACTGGCGACGGGCTGAGAGATAGTACCAGCCGCCCTAGGCTGGCTTTGTGACGACAGACCCATTGGACGTGCAATTGAACGACTCTTGGAGCTTCGACTAACGAAGTCGGGGCATGACTAAGCACAATGCCCTGCACCTCACACCGAGCTCAGCTGCCATGTCCACAGCAGCACGCACAACACATTGCTATGTCCCGCGATCACTCGAACATCATGGGCGTGAAGGTGGGTTCAGAGGACATTTCCTCAGACCACGCCGAACCCGCATTGCAGATGTCATGCCTCGCGGGCGGCGATGGCTGACATAATTGAAAGTGGCACAAGCACGAGAATGCCATGATGTGAAACCCTACCACTTGGTTTTCGGCGAAAGCTCATAATGCTGCAGCGGGATCTAATCACACAACACACTTCTGAGTAAGAGCGAGGTCCCCTGGCTCGCATTGCTGTTCTGGTCGCGCTCGTAGGGATGGTGAACGAGTTCGGAGGGACTTAGATAACAGCGGTGTATGAACTTGGTTGGACGGAAGACGCTCCATCGATCCATCGTGCAGCCTTGTGAGCAGAATCCGTGGTCCAATGTGTACTGCTGCTTGTCTGTTCTGTTGTTCCGCAAAAGCCGAACGCGTCTGCGAAAGTAGAGCCTCGGCAGTGAAGTGATCTCCGCGGAATGGCAAGGTACCGTACTACTGTATCCACTTTCAACGCGCCCTTTGCATCGGCAAACACCGGTCTGTTGTGCGCCTCTCATTCCGACGGTTCATGCAGAAGCGATTTAGGTGGTGCAGCTGCCCATGAACTTGCTTGTGCTAGAATGCCCACCGCGACCGTTGGCGACACATGCACAATGCAATGCATTGCGCCCAATGACGACTCGCCAGTGATCTCTCAGGCGCTGAAGATCATGTTCTCTTGATCGAGCTTTCACGACGCGTACACTCCTCCAGAAACCCCCGTGGCTCGCCCTGATCGTCGATTGCAAGTTTGAGCGCGATAGACCGTCTCTCGAATAAATGGCTTTGGACAATGGAAGGCCAGAGATACCGCTGTCCGCCACAGACGGCGAATCGCACAAGCGACGATGGAAGAGGCGATCTCGCGCAGCGGAGCTCTCGTGCAGCGGAAGGGGCTGCAAGAGGGAGGCGCTGTGCTGGGCGGGCAGTTGCAGACGAAGTGACGAACACTAGCCCTTCTCGGATCGCGCGAAGTCCACCTGACATATACGACGATTTCACGTTGGTACGCGTTGGAGAACGGTCGAAGCCAGACTGAACAGGTGCGAGTGCTGTGGTCTGCCGTACCGGGTCGCAGAAAGAGTGTCGTAGCACTGGCATTACGCGATGACAAGCGCAGCACGACGCAGTATGCCACGCCGCAGACTTGCCTTTACCAGCGGCTACGGCACCATGCCCTATGTTCCATCGACTACGGACCAGGCTATAGACTGCGCACTTTACGACACGTCCTGCGAGATGAGTGCTGCGGCACAGAATCGTTCCATATTGCCATGCATGCTGGCATGACGGGAGAGAGGGTACGCGAGTGTCGCCAGTGAGCAATGGATGGTATCAGACTGATGTTGCGCACGTCATGGAAGAGACCACAGAAGCGCGCGCAACACGATAGAGAGACTGCACAACAGCAGGCCGCATCGGCCGAGTCGGCGAAATGTCTCCGACGACATGCGAGCCCCCTGTTGGTACTCGAGCTTACGAACATGCGCTCGTGAAGATCCATTGCATTTATGAGGGAAATTGGAACACCTTAGCTCTTGAGCAGTATCTGAAGAAGCGCCTCGGGCACTGCACCTACCAGAGAGCAACGCAGCGCCGTTATGATCGACTACAATGAGGAGATACAGGAGCACGGCAATGCACGGATATCGATGCTCAAGGACAACGTGGCCGAAGGCTAGAGGCCGTCTTGCGCACCGACGTGAGCAGCTGCAACGGAGCGCTACATCCAAGGGAAAGCCGTGGCTTCAAGCAAGACGAGGACAATCCATATGGGTGGGATCTGCACGAGGGAGGTGGAACACTTGGAGTCGATCTGGGTCTCTGATCGTCTGGGCAAAGGACTTGTCCGCCAGCGACGAGGGTTTTGATATGTCACGGGCACACTTATCGGTTTCTACTCGCCATGGGGACAGATACGCAAGCTGCGCAGCAATTGCTGTAGTACCGCACATCCGATGGATCACCACCAGTTTAGTGGCCTCACCATGTCGGGCTTCGTATCTACAGCTGCAGTCTAGAAGGGCTATCGTCACCATTCCAGAACTCGCAACGACTACACCCACTCGCAATGCATAGCGAAGCTGGCATGCGAGTAGCGATCGCAAAGCAACAAGCCAACGCCACTTCGCACCTGCCTCTAAGTCGCCGTGCGAGTGCTATCAAGGGGGCAGATAGCCGTCGGCATGACTTCGAACTCCGCCGCCCTTCGCCGCCTCGATCAGCAGAAGCCTCGCCATGTCCGACATGATTAGTGGCTTGACTTGGGCGACTTTTCGATGGCGGCACCGGTTCTAATGGCACGTACAACCGGCAAGAACGTCCAAATAGTCAGACGGAACCGCTGACCTTGAGAGGCCTGCATATAGTTGGGTGAACAACCTACTTCGCATCTCCATGAGTCGTTTGCTGAACTCAAACGGTTGCATTTCCAAGTCTTCAGCCCAATCTCGAACCGTATGGTATACTTGGCGGATTGTTCGGACTTCCCCTTCACCTTCCTATACGTAAAGTGCCGGCCCCCCCATATTCATGGGACCTTCTGTTGTGCGACAGGCCAGTCTCGCTCGCCTGCAGGATTAATTTCTTTATAGAACTTTTGCTTGAAGGTGAGCCTCTTCCTACTACTGCCCTCACGATGGATAAGAAGCCATGCCTCGCGCACACCACGACGCGGAATGCGGAGCGAAGACTGTCGCAAAAGTCTATCCACCGCTCGACATGTGCGACGAGACCAGCGATGGCTTGCAGGCGTTGTCACATGCGCCTACAGTGTGGGGTCCTTGACGGGTCTGGGACGCGGTAGGGCCAAGCACGTGCCGAGACTCAGCGACATGCATTCGATCGACTGCGCCTACTGAACGCCAATGTCTGGTGAAGGACAATTCCCTTGCGGCAGCGCGCGACGCCACTTGCGATACCGACATCGCAGTCCCACGACCAAGATCTTGCGATCACGCTCTCGCCACCATGCTAAGCCCAAGGGCAGAGACATTCTCCTGAGGAATACTCATAACGTGCTTCTGTAGTCGAGCTTGAAGTGGCGTATTGATAAACGGTCACTACCAAGTCGCTTACACTGGAATCAGCGTTTGTCAAGGACTGCCTTGACACAGCGCATTTAGACCAACCCCGCCTGCTTGCTATTGCGGATATTCCACTTGAACACTCCTCAGGGCTGAAGCTCGAGATGGTCCCCCTACCGTCTGATCAGGCCGATTTTGCAAGGGTGGCACCGCGCGGGGTGGGCCGCTGGTTCTTGACACCGTTAGACTCGAGGCATTCCTTCTCCTGTCTTCACCGGCCGACAGTAGGTCCACCCGCTGTCCCTTCCATGCTGCTCCCTTTCCCTAGACCTAAGCCTGCTTCAACGGTGCAGACCTTCCGGAAGACTCGAGCTCAAGTCGACCAAACGACTAAACGCCTAGTCTTGGGGGGAAGAATTCGACCGGTAGCGCGACCCCACTAGCTCTCTCCTCCGCCTCCGCATGTCTGAAGGCCGCGCTGTTGCGAGCCTGGTGCTGCTTTGAGCAGGAGCAGTGGGTTATTCTTGGTTCAATCATACACAGCACGTACGAGACGCGGTAGCGCGGTTGTTCGTGAGGACATGGAGATCTTGCAGCTGCCCAGTAGACGGTGAACATGCAAGCAATGTAGAGATGGCTTATTGGCGTGACAAGACTTGGGCATGTGTGCTTCCATAGCGTTCGGTGCGACGCTGGTAATCGATGATCGTCGTCCCACTTCGTTCGTATGGTCTCTTTTTAGCACGCCTATCATCGTAACAGATTGCGAAATCATGTCCGATTTCGTTCTGCCTTGTCCTTGTCTGCGACTCAATTGTCGGCATGGTCTGAATCATCATTCACGTGAGCCTGATGCGCGGTAGACGGGTATCCTCTCTACCTCCGGTGGTATACTGCTCTGTATACTGCTCTAATGCTGACCATAATGCTGACCATAATGCTGACCATAGCACCGTTAATCCTCAAGCTTTACGGCTTCAAGCTTGGAGGCGCACAAGAGTTTACAGATACACGGGCCTGAGCAACTCTGGATTACTGCGTGAAACACTCGATCGACTAGCGTTGTTGCAACACAATCCATCGATGAAGAGGCTGATCGTTCCACATTCGACAGTCCTTAGACGTTCAACCCTTCAGTCGATAGAACGTGGTTGGATACAAGCAACTTTTGACTTCGGGAAGGCAATCACCAGACGAGACCCTATACAGCCCGGCGGCGATGAAGAGGAGACGCCATACAGCCGACTACCGTTACGGCCGCCGTGTTATATCGAGTTGCATGATATGCATGTCGTGAAGGCGCCGAGACCTTTTCCTCTACTACGCACAACCGCTGTGGAAAGGTGAGTTCGCCAAGTTGGAGAGGGCAGAACGATCACCTCAGTCTGCTAAACGTGAAAGGCAAGAGTATAAGCCAATAGTAATGTCGTTGCCCATAACGTGAAGAAGTCTCAAAAATTCCGAAAAGATTTGCTTGGACGGTGCCGACTGGAGGAATCGAACCTCCGATCTATTCATGTCGCATACGAGTGAATCGCTTTACCACTGAGCCAAGCCGGCCGCTGTGCTGATGGCAACGCCATCAGTGAATATAGCGTATAGTGCATTACGACAAATTAGGCGAAGTGAACATCGTAGGAACGTGGCTTGGCATTGGAAGTGAGGTGACGGTCAACACTGTGTATTTCAGCTTCCCCGCACTTCGAAACATTGTCTCGCATCTGTCGTGGTGTTCGTGATCGATATCTGAACGTGTCATGAACGTGAGAGCGGCGGTGTGTCTATCTTCGGGGAGGTCCTGATCACCGCGATCGGTTTCCATGACCAGCACCTAATATTCACGTCACAAACCGACTGCCGGCAAGCTCACCAATGATTCACTACTTGACAGACGATTTGGGAGGTGGAGTACGTGACTCTCGGCCCTTACGTTGTCAAGCTACCTTTCATCCAAGTATGCCAAACGCTATCATATACCCTCGCCATGTTTCATACCCAAGCACCAACGCTATGCATTTCTACCCTTCCATCTCAAGTGCGCCATTCACCAACTCGCTGTCCCGCTCAATGATCCGCTTTGTTGAAGCATCACGTCTCGCCTGACTCGCCCGGGCCCTGTCTCTGCGACACAAGCCACTCCATGACACTCTCATAGCAAAGAACGTACTGGCGCAGACTCTGCACCATGCTGATGCGCTGATTGCGGAAGTCCTCGACAGTCTTCTCTACGAGGTCGATGTCGTTCTTGTCGATCCAAGAACCACCAGAAACATTGCTCTCGTCACTGTTGTGGCGCGACGAGGAAGGCTTACTTGAGGACTTCGAGTCGACGTCCATTGGCGTCTGCGATGAGTGCTTCGATGGCTCATCATGAAGTCGTTGCCGTTTCAGCATGTCAATGACCGAGTCTACGGTGCAGAATGTGCCTGTGCGTCCACAACCAGCCGAGCAATGCACAAGTGTAGGCCGGTTATTAGCCGGCTCCGGCTCGCTCGAGTGTGTCTTGTTCACAGTCCGGGCCACCGAGTCGCACTGCTCTACCAGACCAAGAAGATGAGCAGGATGTGCCGGCGCACCGAAGTCGGGCCACGAGGAGTACTGCAGCTGTGTGACCTCACGCATGCGCTCGAACGGGAAGTTCTCGTGACTGAGCGTGAACTTACGCACAATTACGTGCGGCTGCTCCGTCTTCGATCTGTCGTCCTTGGCTTCCACAGGCGCGAAGGGAATGTTCGCTGGGTTCGTAGACGATCTCCTAGCTACCGAGGGACGCGCCTTCGCTCGGTGGATCTTAGCCGGTTCAATCGAGGCGCGCTTCTCGGACAAGAAGTCGAGGTGTATTTGCCCGTACTGTTTGCCATTCCAGTAATTGTGCGCCTTGACTTGAGCACCTTCTTGCTCTGCTGTCAGCATTACAATCACTCGGATGTCCTGCTGCCAGACGACGTTCCAGAAGTCGTTGAAGGTCGCCGGAATTGGCGCTTGTGTAGAGATGTAGCGCTTGTTGCTCCAGGCGGCTTTGATGTGGGAGGCGTTGAAGTAGTCACAGCCGTGACTTGGAACACCTTGGAGACGTACTCGCGAGTGCTCGAATGGCCAGATGTTATTGTAGCGGTTCTTGTTGCCTTTCTCGATACCAGCGATCTGGATCTTCTTGATCGGCTTCGCATTCTTCGAAGCGAATGGTGATGTGGCAAATGTGACTTTCCCCGAAAGTGCATCCTCCATCCGCTTCTTCTCGCGACGCTCGATCTGCTCGAAGCGATCCGACACTCGCTTGCCTTGGTCCTGATCATCCGACACCTGCTTCATCCAAGCTGGGAAGCTGTCTTCGGTCGCTCTTGTCGCACGCGTCGGGTGCTTGAGCGACATCTGACCAACTCCACCAATCAAGTCCATATTCTGCCGGATGTTGCCGAAAAACGGATTTGCAGGCTTGTCGGTCAGTGGCATCGGGCAGCCGCCAATTACAGGCGGGATCAGCCTGCCCTCGGAATACGTACCTGAAGCTACTGAGTCGTCGCTCGTGGCGTCGACCCCAGCCTCAACGTAGTTCGGAAAGCGCTTTGCAAACTCTTGAAACCCACCCTTGATTATGTACAGTGTTCCAGCATATCCTTCAGTCCTAAATTTCTTGATGGTGTTCATGCAGGTCATCGCATCCTTCAATTGCGCCGAGCTGTTATCGTAGACGACAATGTACTTGCTGCTCCTCCAATTCTCGAATTTGGCACGCTGACCCTCGTCCTTGAATGTTGCTGCCAGTTTCTCCACATTGAAGGCGGGTCTCTTCAGTAACGTGGTCGGGATGCATAACGTAAGTGCGCCGGCGACATGCGCTTGTGCAAAGTGTGTGGAAACACGTAAGTCCAGTATGAGCACCTCTTCGTCAGAGGACCCTAGCAGATTTATGACCCGCTGTGCAGTGACCATAACTTGTCCCTCGTCATTGCCGCTGTCCGGTAAAGTCTCCGCGCGATGTATCGGCATTGAGTAGCTGCCGCTAGTGTTTGTGTCAAGCGGCAAAGCTTTCCGTGGCTGTCGCTCTGGCGAGTGCTCGCGCCTGTGCTTCTCACCGTGCTCGCCATCAGCCATACTTGCAGGCGAACCTCTGCGCGCTATATCAGGCAGCATTCTAGAGTCCGGTGAGAGCATCCTCTTAGGTGATTGCGACATCTCGGACACGTTTGGCTCCAGCAGCTCCCGGCCCATCCTTGGTGGAGGCGGCATCGTCTTAGGAGCAGGAACGCTCTTTGCACTCTCTTGGGCGAGCACGGGTTTGCTCTGTTTGCTTGCTTGATTGCGTGCAGGCGGCGCATTCATGGCAAACCCGCTGAGGCCACCAAGGTTGAACGACTTACCCTCAGTCTGCTTCTTAAAGGCACTGAACTCTGGATTCTGCTCGTGTGGTATCACGCTTGGTGATACTGCAGCTGTCGATTGCACTGTCGAAGTGGGCGGGCTCCAATGTGCTTTCGAGTGTTGCACATCGTCGCTATTTGGCTCGCCGGTCGTCTGGAAACCGAAATAGTTAGGACTCGGTGTCTTCGGCGTGTGGCTTGAATCGTGTGGTGTGGCTAGTCGAGGTGTAAAATAGGGAGGCATAACATGACCGGTGCTGGAGCTGCCCTGACGCCTCGAGGGAGGAATGCGACTCGAAGGGGACGAGATCGCCGTGGGCTGTGTATAACGTGGTGACGTCGCGGTTACTGACATGGTCACCTCGATCATGTATGAGTCGCCTGTACTGGAGAGTGGTACACAATTGTGTCAGAGATCTTCTTTACGCCATAGCGTACGGTATGGTGTGAATTGTTATGTCGCGTGCTGAAGATGCCTCGAGGAGACTCGACTCAGCGAGCGTGACCCTTGAATGACGTCGTTGTTTCCTAAGGTGGCGGAAGTCACACCTCAGGAATAGAGGTGAATGTAAGCCTTGGACACGAGTTCGTAATTGGGTCAGCAGCAGTGGCGAAAATGGTAACCGGCCTCAAGGACACAATTTAGGGCGCAGCAGCGTGTAGCTGGAGCGGGAGGTTTTCGAGATTGGATTGGCAATGCAGACTTTACGAAACAGCTGTGGGTGGACCCTGGGAAGCAGCCGTTGCGGCGGGGCTTGCCGATCGTGTGGTAATTAATAATAAACCCCCGAGAAGCGGTGCAACGTCATTCCAGCCTTGCGAACCTGACAACTAACGTTTTCCTGATAGTCCGAGACTAACTTGCTACCGGCCCATGTGCGCCTGCAGACTGATGCCTCGACATCTCTGGCATCTGGTCACGTTACGCGCCTTAGCGCCCCGTGCGTCACTTAAGTGCACTTCCACGATTTCGATTCCGGCTGCGGCCTTTGTTGTGGATCCGCAGCTGCAGTAGTCTACTATGGCGCAAGGCCTAGATCTCGCGCATAATCCATACACCGCGTCCTTGACATCCGCGACATCTTCGGATGATATGCGATGCACAACAGATCGTCGATTGACCTCGGAGTTGAAGGGATGGCCCCCCGACGACACGGGATGAACGACCCGTTCGTGTGACTCGTTGCTCAAAACATCGTCGTTTGAGTATGCCTATCCACTGAACACATGGATGGAATGTGAGGTTGCCCATTTCTTCGTCTGGAACAAAACTTGAAGTGTAGTCAAAATTGAGGTGATGTGAGGAACGCACACTAGAAGTAGGTTAATCATGACTTCATCTCCTCGTCATCCCAATGGTTCGTGTAATCATGTTGCGCTTGGATATGCTACACAACTAACAGCAAGTCCATATCACAACCTGTTCGTTGCAGAACCTATCTAAGCCAGGTTATCACACATGGCAGCCACCACTGCGCGCAATTACTTGGTGACCGGCGCTGGTCGAGGCATCGGTCGCGGACTCAGTAGACTTCTACTCTCTCACGGCCACCGAGTCTTCCTCCTCGACAACAACGCCGAAGAGCTCGATCACACAACTACGGTGCTCTCCAGTCAATTCAAGACCTCAAACCAGTTCCGTACAGCCCACTGCGATCTGTCGAAGCCTGATCAGATAGCTTCGACGGTCAAAGACGCAGCGACTTTCTTCGATTCGAAGATCGACGTTCTGGTTAACAACGCTGCGCATACAGCCGGTGTGGGCGGCGCAGATGTCTCGGACATGTCCTTGGATCTCTGGAACACGTCATTGGCAGTAAATCTCACAGCTCCCATGCTGATGTCCCAGCACTGCCTGCCGTATCTGTCCAAGTCATCTTCAAGACCTGCGGGAGGCTGTATCATCAATATGTCTTCCACTCGTGCTCGACAGTCCGAGCCCGCGAATGAGGCTTACGCGACAACTAAAGCTGGACTTCTCGGCTTGACACAGTCCATGGTTGTTTCACTCGCCCCGAAAGGTGTGAGGGTCAACGCCATTCTGCCAGGGTGGATTCATGTGGCAAACGAATGCAAGGCCGCTGATGAGGCTGGGCAGCCTTGGGAGGAAGGGCTGAGTACGGCGGACCATGAGTGGCAATTGACTGGCAGGGTTGGAAACGTGGAGGATGTGTGGCGAGCTGTGGAGTATCTCACTGA